TTACATGAATTGGGAACTTTTTCGTTATCATTATTATTAAAATTATTATCATCATTGTTGTTATTAATACACATTTCGAATAAAATGTAGCAAGGACAAAAAAAATGAATAAATTCAAGATCATCACATCACATGAAAACTATGTAGCTATATCAGCAACGTATCTAGAAACTTTTGAAGTTTTGCTCTATTATGTGCATTATGCTATGCATTACTATGTATGCTAAGTTAGAACGTGATGCTTCCCTTTCTTGCTTACCTGCCTTTAGCCAACAAGCGTTTGCACTTGGAAGTGCTCCAGTTTTGGGGTGGCTGTAGCTGCGCCTAGGGTATGGGGAAACGAAAGGTTTTGGTTTACAGTGTTCACAGTGCTGTCGGGTTCTGAGGATAGATGGAAGGGGTTCGGAGCCACAGTGCTTCAGGAAACAGGAGGGTAAGTGCAAGTTGTGAAAAGTTGAAGCTGCGTGAGGTAGTGGTGGTACAGTGTTTTCCGTGTGCTAGCTAAGTATAGGGATCCGTAGGAATAAGAAGGAAGAACAGGAGCAGTTATCCTTAGTTTGAAGCCGGAGAAATCGCCGTAGTCGAGTTCAGAGTAGTAAAATGAGGCGTTGTGCTCAAGCAGCATATGTGCATAGCAGCAGCAATATGTGGTCATATTAATGACAATTAGTAAAAATAAAAGTTGTAATAACTCATATAAATTAGTAATACAATAAAAAGCGGTCTAGGAAAGGTGGAAAGAAGTGGCTGAAATAACAGCTTCTCAGCTGGGGTGAATGGAAGACAGGAGCCTTTTTCATGTGAGGTGCTTCCAATCTGTTCAATACACTCACATCAACTAATTCACGATACTTAGACACTGAGCATCAAAAAATGGTAGATAAGTTTCTAAAAACGGAAAGGCTGTCAGCTCGACGATCGCCTTGATCAAAGGAGTTGGGTGTTACTGTAGTTACGTACGCCAAATAGCCTTAGTAGATGAACAAAAGATGACTAAATACGTCAGTGATAAAGCTACATAGTTTCCATATTCTGTTTCTATTTTATCAGTTTCCGTATTATATTACATAAAGATTATGAATTTCACATTGCCTTGTCCTTAACGCGTATTATTTTTTCATATTAATTCAATAATAACCAGTTGGGCTACGCACGCTACCGCGTGCATTATATGTCGACGACCGCTTATCTACGATAAAGTCGTTCAGCGGAAAGCTGGATTATCAGAATAAGGTAGAATTATCAGTGGTTGATCATAGCGCCGTCACCCTCAGTGCAGACCCTTCCCACTATAGAACCTTCACCACCCTTATTTTAACTGCTCCCAACAATTCCCTCCGAATTCTGGAGTTCTTGAAGAGATGAATTTTCCTCGCCCCGCTTACCCGTGCCAGCTTCGTACACCTCGATGACTTAACCACATTTGTTCCATACCCCTAACCACTCTTTCCCCGTGCCTAGAACATTTCTGAGCAGAGTTATGGAGTTTTGATCTAATCCCCGCTCACTTTAGTGCCAACCCCGCCCATTTCGAGGATTTGACCACATTTGTTCCACTAACTCTAACTACTTTTTTCCTGCGTTCTGGAACGTTTCTGAACAGAGTTATGAGATTTTGATATAGGCCCGCCAACTTCGAGGGTTTGACTGCACTTGTTCCATTACCTCGGACCACTTTTCCCCCGCATTCTAAGACGTTCCTGTACAGAGTTGTGAAATTTCAATCTGAGCCCCCCCACTTTAGAGCCAACCCTGCCCACTTCGAGGATTTGGTCACATCTGTTCCATTACCTATTACCACTTTTTTCCCGCATTCCAGAACGTTTCCGAACGGAGTTGCATTCATTTTTGAAAAGTAACGTTCATCTCAACGCACGCCACGCCCATAGCGGGCGGGACTTCGCTAAGCCTACGCATACCTAGCACTCATGCCATGACTCATGACTCATGCCTTTCTCATTCTTTTCTTTTCCGGTCTCGACGCCTTCGTAGAATCGAGTTATGAATCTCTGTGCAAGCACCGCCCACTGCGAGAACGCTCTACCCACAGCCGGTAAGTTTCTCTTATTTTAATTGACGAATCATCCTTCACCTCTGAACACGGCGTCTGGAACGTTGCGAGACCGAGTTAGAAAAAATCGCCCTAGCCACGCTCGATTCCGGGGCCGCCCCTTGTGGACGGAGCTCCGCTAGGCTCACATGTACTCTGTTGCGCCTACCTATGCTCAACCCATTCCAAACGCGACCCGACTTCCCCAGGCGTTTCTTCAGGTTATATCGAATTTCCGTACAAACAGATGAACAAACAGACAGAGCGCTTTATATATAACCCTTTGCTTGCTCTGGTGGGTCAGCCTCGACTCATTTCAGTGGACCACCCTCACCTCATTATAACTAGCATTACATCCTCTCAACCTCCACCTAAGAAAGTCCTAATGAACCAAGTCAAAAAATGCTTTGAAATATCTGGACCACTCTTTCTTCCCCATGAACACCTACTGGAAAGAAATGCCTTGACCCGTTCCGAAGCCGAGGCAGCTAAAGTCGCTGGTTATACACATACATTAATACATCCGCCATAAGAGTCTCCTCCTCCATCAGCCTTTCACTCGTATAATACGCGTTTCCGTAAACGTACAACCTCCATTTACCTTTTCACTTCAACCCATCGTCTTAGCATTTGTGGTCTCCCTCAATTTCTGTTAACACATTTTCATTTATTATTTGTTGGTATTATGGTTTTCAAACAAACTTTTAATAACTTTTCGTTACTGTTACGCGATATTCGTTTTACCGTGTCCGCCGTCGACGTAAAATTATAGAGACTCACTGCACCAACTTAGGCTTACCTGGCCCGCTTTCAAATAAGCGCTCTTATGGACTTTGACTGTTCTATCGATCAGTCTCTAGACGTAGGTGATCTTGACACCGTCCAAGACACCAAGTGGTAAACGACACCCAGCCAGGTAGTAAGGCCTATTTCCGGCCTTCAAATTCGACATAGCGTACCATGGTCCTTTCAGGGTCTCCGCTCCCTTCGATGCCGGGTTTGACTCTACCGGCAAGAACGTGGGGGATCCTATGATGCTTGATGACGTTTCGGCTGTCAATGATGAGGAGCATATTGGCTGTGAAGCGAGCTAGCTAGCTATACCATCCCGGGACATGACCAATTTACTTATCAGCCCTACTCTTTCGCCGTCCCTGCACATGGATACTACACCGCCTTGTGACCCCGTTATCGAACCGAAGGTTGAGGTTTGACGGAATCCCTCGATGAGACTCCTGGCTTGCTCCCCAACGACGCATCTGGGGCCGTTGTCACTTTAGGTGAGCCTGCCGGAGCTGTTGCTCCGACATCAGAGCCTGTTCACAGTTCATCTTTTGCAGTCGATTCCGTCAATGCTTCGACTACATCGAAAGCAGGAGATTACGAGAAATTTTTCGTGCGCCAACAAGCAGCCGTCGCCGCAAAGAACGCCACTTTTCTAGCCCCGCTACGCTTCCGCCGGCACCAGTCAGTCGCTCTGTAATGCTGTTCATATAGCAGCTACGATTTACCGACGTTTACCCAAGTTCACACCACAGGATTACACTCATCCTCCTCAAATTCCAGAACCGGCGTTGGTAGCTCTGGTCTCTCACATCCCTCAGGCCAGACACATCTACGTAGGAGATATACATCAGCTAAAGCCACATGTCCGCTGTCCCCGCTCCTCTAACCCGGCAAGGTTTGGGGCTCAAGGGATCAAGAGCATTCTACTAGCGAAAGGAGTTCCCACGGCACCACTGACGACTACCTTCCGCGCCCATCCTCTGCTGAACAAGCTACCTAACTTGATTTTTTACGAAAACGCACTCCTCAAAGGAACGCTCGCAGATCATAGCCAAATGTGCTTAACCTAAGCTGCCGTTTCTGTTCGTTGGGCTTTCAGGAAAGTCCCCCAATGCTCTTAGCGGCTTGCATAGCAACCAGGCGAAGTTGAAAACTGTCGCGAGACTGTTCTGAGCCTCTGTCGGAAAAAATCCAACCTTCAACCGTCACCATTGTCTTTTACAAAGAATAAGCGGATCTTTTCCCACTTTGCTAAAAGCAACGACATAGACGTACATACAGTGGATTCCGTACTTAAGGCTCGCGCACGACAACATAGAGGAAGGAAGCTCGATCGCCACGCACGAAAGGACTGTCGCCTCCATGGATTCCTGGCCTTCATCGGTTGTCACCCCTGGGCTCAACACCTTCCAGACTCGGACATCGAGTGGACTGATATTCGCACACCATTGCATCAATAAATTGGTTGATTATTCTCGCCACAGTCGTGCAGTTTTCTGAGCGGTATGGCCGCACCTATTACTGAACTTACGGCGGGGGTTGGGTCGGGTCTGGGTTGGAGTTTAGGAGAAAACGTGAAAGGTTTTAAAAAGACGATAATGTCTTGCGTCTTGTCACCCGATCTTGCACTCAGAACACCGACTGAAATTGCAGTTTCTTCGGGAAAATCATTGCCTTTAGCTTATTTTTTTGGGGGCATTTCTTTCCTTTTTTGCTTTTTCTGTACTTTTTATTGTCTTTCCTTTGCCTCATTTTGCTTTTTTGAATAAATGCTAGCATTAAATAACACGCGACCGCGCTGTTATAGAAAATAGCCAATACTTTAATACTAGCCGTTGATCATGAGTGCTTTGCTTTCGCTTTCTGCTTTCGCTATCATTCTGCTGTCAGGCTTTAATATTATTGGAGGTGTCATGTGGCAGATGCAGAAGACCTCAGGAGCGCGAAGGAATTAGCCACCGCCGACTTGCTGTATCGATTGGTGTCCAGCGCTGTCAACAATTAGCTAGCGCCGCCGTCCCTCGAACGCGCGCTTGTCGGATGCATCGCTGAAGTCTGAAAGCGGCCATACACCTCAACGTTGTACAGAGACCATGATTTTCATTCGACCATGTTCATCGGACTACGGAAGCAATCGTGGACACTTCAAATTTGTACAACCTACCTTCTGCACCTTCTATAAGACCATCTTCCTCCAACAGTTCGGGTTCGTCGATTGCGTCTGCGTTCACATCCAACTCCAACTCATTTCCCAACGACGCTTCACCTCCGCCAAGAGGAGCCACTGGTGCGACATCGTCTGCGGTAGACTTTGTTAGGGATCGTTTCTGGTACGGCATTCAAGCAGCTCACTGAACTTCCACTGAAATGGCGTACTTGAAGAAAAAGAAATGGAAAAGGAAGAGCGCAACGACTAGAACAAAAACAATTGAAGATTGCTATCAAGAGGGGTTAACTTGGACAAGACGGATTTTAAAGTCCCGTGAATGGTGATACACTATCCGAATACACACACAAACACACACATATACAATGCAACAAAGAGGTACCTTGGGCGAAGCCTGGAGAGAGTAATGAGCGTTGCGGAGATTACTGGATCATACATTCGCGGGACCTCAAAACCCATTCTGTTCGAGTCAGGTAACTGCCCACAATCCAACAATCTTTTCATAAACAATAACTAATGATACAAACTCCGGCAGGTCACACCATATCGTGGTCCTGGGCAACATTTACATTATTTATTACTTTTTTATATTTTTTGACGCTTTCACGTAACATCTGGGCTCACAACCTTCTGAATGAATATCGTGGCGTTGTGGTCCAAGAATCACTTATTTCCAACTAAAGGTATGAGAGAAAATGTGCTTAGGCAAAGTTCTATGATGTTTTGTTGGATCTTTATCCCACAAGCCACGAAGGTCCAGAGATGAATCGAGCACTTCCCTATTCCTTGCAGGGCCTAACAAAGTAGCAGTGGGTGTTGTTTCACGGGGTCCAGTATATTCTCCCCGAACACTGCGTCGCGCTTGCCTCGCCCTACGATATCGCAGATGGAAATTGACGCGAGCAAACTCAGAATTGGGGAGTCCTTCGATCACTTACATTTGCTGACCACCTTCAATCCCAATGATCGTCGATAATAGTCGTCGTCGATGCCAATCAAAAAAGAAAGGCAGCCAACGAGGAATGTGGTGCCCTATCGATTGGCCTGGAGGCGGGTTGAGTACGGTAATTGCAGTTTCGAGCCGCGAGACAACAAAGAAGTTTGTTGCCACGCCGCAAAGAGGACGTGGGAAATCGGGAAGAAGTTCGGCCACCCTGGTTTACGCACCCATTCTTTGAGATATATGTAGTTCCATTAAAATGTCACACAATATTGATAAGCCATCCAAAGTCAATCCTGTCTAACGGAGGCGCTAGACAGGATTGACAATACTAGCTCACGTGCCAGCGCTGTCAACACCTATCTAGCGCCACATCGCAGCACGCACGCGCCGGACGGATGGACGGACGGATGAATCGTTGAAGCCTCAAAGCAGCCACTGCCCATCCAGTGATAAAAGCCTGATCGATGACGCCACTACTATTAGACGCCGAGTTGCGGACCTGCTTGATTTTGTCTATCAGCGTGACGTCATTAATCAAGCTTCTATCAGCTGGATGGGCAGTTGGTTGCGAAATCATCTGGACGGGTTGTCCAGCTCGCAAACCGCGTTGCACGAGCGGCGCGATTGCACCAAACGACATACGCCCGCGGGCCACAGCAACACCACGCGAAGAGCGCGCTTGGTCCCACACGCCAGACATGCTTACACGTTGACAACGAGCCAATTTTTTCGTGTCTGTCCCGTGGTACGAGACAGTTTCTGTCTCGTAAATTTGTTATTTCTCAAAAAAATGAGTGACTACGGTCAAAAACATTTGAAAACGAACGGTACAAGAGAATAGTTCGCAAACCTCCCAGCAATATTCAAGTTTTGCCCAAGATTCGTGGCTACTCGGGACAATTTCAAATTTGGCGTTGATAAATTTGAATTAGGGTATATAAATAGGATCTCTAAGAGTATTATTATTCCTGCGACTATCTTGTAACCATGAGTATCCCGGATATCGAATGGAAGACTTCAACGAAAGTTTTGACAACTGGCTGCTCGACAGCGACGATGACGCTGCAGATGGTTTGGATGGCGACGATATTGGAATCAAACTCTTCAAGCTCTGCTCTCGTGCTGGCTATACTCAGAAGGTCAAGGTTTACGCCGGAAAGGATCCAAAGTGGACAACCATGTGGCAGAAACTGTAGTAATGAAATTGATGGATGGTTTTCTTGTGCAAGGACGTTGCCTCTGCACTAATAACTGGTACAGCAGTTTACCGCTTGCTCACAATCTACTCAAAAAGACTGTTATTGTTGGAACCCTCCGAAGAAGTCTAAGAGGCATCCCTCAAATCATCCGAGGCAAAAAACTGCAGAGAGGAAAATTTATTCAGCAGCAGAACCTGAAAGGAGTACTAATTTTGAAGTGGAAAGACAAGGAAAACACCCACATGATTTCTACTACACATGACGCCAGCTTTCACCCGAACGGCAAACCTTCGGTTTTGGTCGATTATAACATGATGAAGGGATTCGTTGAACTCAGCGATCATATGGCTACCTATACTCCGTTTGTGAGAAAGATAGCGAAATGGTAAGTTCGACACTTTTTTAATCTCGTAACCCAGACTGCCTTAGTCAATGCTTGGTTTTTATATTGCGAGAAGATCAATAAAATCAAGATAAACCACTTCAAAGAGCTAATTGTGGACGACTTGCTGTACAAGAACTTCAACGATACGCCAACAAGCAGTTCGAGAACACGCAAGCGGAAGCTGGTGGCTGATCCAAATGCGATGGCTAAGGACAGACGGTTTCGCTCTGACTGCTATAATTCGACCTCTGCAACATCAGGCAGGTCGACAGCGGAGGGCCTGGACTCAGGCAGGTCGACCGCGAGGAGCCTGGCCAGCAGGTCGACCGCGAGGAGCCTGGCCAGGAGGACTAAGTCAAAAAGGACTGAATGTAATGAATTTTGTTGCCTAGATTGTTTCCAAACAATGCGTGATTGTTAGTTGCTAATAAAAATGAAATATTGGCCCTAAAATTAATTTAGTTGGTGGCCGGTACTATTTTAGACATTTACAGGCCTAAATTGAGAATCTGCACAAAAAACGGAACGGGTAAACACACTTTGATTAAAGAATGCACCGCTGCGCAGCATTGCGCGTCATCGCACCATGAGACAGACTGGCTGTCGCGCACTATTGCGCTACATTGTTGTCAACATGTTAAAAGGCGCGGTCGTCAATGGCTCAAAACTTCATCTCACCCTGTGTATATAGTCGGTAAATCTACCCATATTCAATAGGAAGAATAATATGAGATGAACAACCTTAGAACAAGGGAATTGTCGGTGTAATGGGAATAATGAAACCCAACTTCCTGCGACCTTAGAATGTTTTTGTGCATTTCGTTAATATTAGGCAAAACAAAAACGAGTACAACCATCGCAACCAGCGATGTCAAGCAACGAAAAAAAAAGCGTCAAAAATGAATGACCTGAACGGTACGCAAGTAGAGACGTCCGTTAAAGGCTTACTCTACATTCAGATTATTGCAACGCAATGGGCCGTAGGTGCTACCTAAAAAGCTGAGCCGTATGCAGAATGCCCAGCTTCAGTGAGAAAAAAGTCAACCCGATAAAATTACCCTAAGGAGCGTAACTTTAAAATGCCTTGCTTAGTTGCTACGCGTCAGACTGGTGACGGTGAAGCAGAGAATTGCCCAAAGTCATGTTAGTGAACAACAGCTCTCGACGACCATGTCATGTTGCATCTATACGACTCTCCCTCAGTGAGAGTTCAGGGAAGCGTAATCCCTACGACCCCGACCAAGTCGGAGTGTGTATCAGTCCAAAATGGTGATGGTGACATACAGTAAAACTAGACTAATCAGAGACGCACTATTGTCCCCAGAGCATGTCTTCCTCATAATAGTAATCTTCTATGAAATCTCGATAATGTAGAGTCGTAGAGGCAAAAGCCACGGCTACAGGACCATTGTCAACCGCCGATAGAGTGACACTGCGTCTTTTCGTTTTCTCTGCGTCTTCATCAGTAGGCATCTCCCCTCCATAAGAATAGGGAAGAACTCGCCATCCCTCACTGCCTATTCCTGTGGTAAATGAATTGTGAACTCTAAAACCTGATAACTAAGTTGCAGATTTCCAAAATGTCGTACATCTAACCGTTCAATCCCATAAGGAAGTGACGAAAAGCGGGAAGTATGGATTTAGATACTTCACCAATGTGAAGGTTCTACGCAGCTGTTTAGATGATATTGCAAGGAAGATCAGAACTTACCTCTCTAGTTTTTGATTTGCTCAAACAGTAACTACCCTTATCGAACTACATTATATTCATCTCCATTTTTCACTGCTTTCTCTCCTTTGTCGATTACAATAATAGTGTAATTAACTTGATATTACTTCTCTTGTGATCCATCTTCACTCTTACACCCGTTCAAAGCTTCTATCTGAACGAAAGAACACTTTTGAGGAGATTGTGACGGACAACGAGAGGGCATGCCCTCACCCCGCTGGTGAGTACCACACGTATAGTAGGGGCGCTTTAAATTTTATCGAGCTGAGATCTAATCCTTGGGAGTTTTTTCCACCTTTCCTGGGTGCTGATATGCCTCATTGTTGCACACCTTGCCACCGAGCTCAAAGACCTATGATAGTGGCAAAACACTGGAGCAGCGTGCACGGTGTTCATGCAGTATTCATGCAGGATTTCTTGCCTCATCAACTTGACTCTGATTCTCTCTATATATGAGCGGCGAAATTAGGAACGAAGCCTTAAAACCGTAATCAAACAGCATTACCTGCAGCAGTGAATTTGGCCCTGATTTAGTGACTAGCAGTAGAATATTTTGTTGAAGAGGTTAGGGCAGTAGTGGAATCAGCAAGGTGAGTCGAGCTGCACCAAGTTGCAGTCGTATATCGGCGCGAAAACAATTCCAAAGGCAACCCCACAGCCATGGCAATGTGTTGTGGCTGTGTGGCCTACTTTCAACGTCCGCCGGTAGGCCTTGCAAGCGCGCGCCACTGTTAGCCACTTGGTGAATGCCACCCACTTGATGAAACACTGAACGTTTATCAACCACGTGTCGGTGTCAGTGTTGTCAACAAGTGGCTAGGGCCGCTGCCGGCCAGCACGCGCCTTCGCGCGCTCGCAAGGCCCACTGGCGGACTCCGAAAGTAGCCTGCGGTTGCTGTTCTCTGTGAGTTATGAG